GCAAATACTCCTTCTAGCACTGATGAGGTGACCTAGTTGGGTCATGAAAGGTCTGCAAGAAAACAACAAAGCTCAGAGAGCACCAGGGAACTCCTCATTTCAACCCTGAGCTACAAATATTCTCCTTTATTGGTGAGGAAACCGATCTCCAATGTGTGTGAGCCACCAGACGTGTAGCCAACAGTCTGAATGAGCCCGCCTCCTGAGATCCAGCCATGAACGGAGTCCCTGCAACTTGCTAAGCCATTAAAGAAAACTGTCAACTTCCAAAGCATCCCTGGCCTGCTCTCAAGTTGCCGTAGGACATCCCCCCTGTCTTATGGCAACAGGCCTATGGCACAGTAGCCAAAGACAGATGCACATTCCATACTTATCTCTCTCAAGGCTGTATCCCAGGGTTACCTACAGCAGCCGGAGGGGAGTGACTTCTACAACCTGTGAAATTGCTCCATTGGCGAATGTGATTGATGGCACACCCTGGCAGGAGGGGGGGGAAACAGGATCATAATTGGGGTGTAAATTATTTAGGGTCAGAGCTGGCTTTACTTGGGTATGTGCCGACATGAAGCTCCTAATCAATAACTGGATTTCTTTTGAAGCTTGGCTCAAGACTCATGATTTAATTAGGGCATCTGTCAGGACTCTGACAAAAAACATTAATTAACCTGACTTCATGCAAATCAAGACCACATAAATTATAACTTCTTCCAATGGCCATTGTTCATCTTAGACATCTTTTCTCATGTTTTTCTTCCAGATCCATCATGTCTTGCTACACTCCTTGCTGCCCACCTTGCTGCCCACCTCCATCTTGTGCCATTCCATCCTGCGCTGCTACACCCGTCGTAGGTCTCGGAGGATGTGGAACTCCGTTTGCCCTCGGTGGCTCTGGGGGCTTCGGCGGCCTTGGTGGCAGTGGCGGCTTCAGTGGTTTCCGCTCTGGTGGAAGCCCTGCATCCGCTAGCAGCCTTGGCACGCTTTCCGGAGTGACCCCATCTCCCATCAGCCAGATCCCGGCCTCCGAAGTAGTGATCCAGCCTCCCCCTGTTGTGGTGACCCTCCCGGGACCCATTCTCGCAGCAAGTTGTGAACCAGTGGCCGTCGGGGGTTATTCAGGATGTGCTGCAGGATCTTTTGGGGGATTGTCTTCTCGTGGGCTGCTCGGCTCTGGATCCAGGGGGATCTGTGGCCCCCGACGCAAATTCAGCATCTGTGGTTCCCCATGCTAAACCGAAGCTTGATCCGAGAAGACCCGAAGGACTGAAAACCGTTGCGACGTCAGTGAATGTATGCCCGAAACTTTTAGACTGCCAGCTAAATTGTTAAGTTGTTCAGCCAATGAGACAATCAAATCCAAGTATTTGTCCGGTGCTCTAGGCTCTTTCTGAAAACCTTGTATTTCTCCCTTTGCTCGTTCTTTTGAAACCGCAAGTTCAACGCCAACATTTCTGTCATTTTCATCTGTTCTGTAATTGCACTGGGAAAGGTGGGGGGAAATCTGTAGAGAGACAGAAATGTTAGAATCCAGCTGTTGCTGCTATGATACTATCTTCTTTCGCCCTATTAAAGCTTGTGCTGCATTATAAATCCTCTTTTGTGAGCATTTTTATTTTCCTCCCAATTTATTCGCTGCCTCCCTGCTCGTGGTAGAAATACGTGGTTTCCTCTGCTATATTCCCTGATTCATAGTAAAGTCTTTAAGAGTGCACAGCAGTAGTCAAGATCTGGAATAAATTATTTAGTAGTGTCAGGCACAAACAACTGGGCCCACATGTGTAGAGTTCAAATTAGCTACTTTATTGTTTTCTGCCTGTACTACAGGAATCTCCTGGCAGTTTTCACCTGGGAAAGACCAGATAAAGCTCAAAGACATTTAGGAGGGGGGGGTGGTCAGATCTTGTCCTCTTGTGTTTACATAGTGAATCTAAGAAGGGGTGAAATCCAGCAGGTTGTGATAGGAGAACCAGTTCGGAGTAGTTTTGGAGTAGTTCAGAAAACCAGTAGCGGAAATTTTGAGTAGTTCGGAGAACCAGCAAATACCACTTCTGACTGGTCCTAGAGACCGGGTGGGAATGGAGATTTTGCAGTATCCTTCCCCCGAGAGTGGGGAGGAAATGGGGATTTTGCAGTATCCTTCCCCTGGAGTGGGGTGGGAATGGAGATTTTGCAGTATCCTTCCCCCTGGAGTGGGATGGGAATGGAGATTTTGCAATATCCTTCCCCTGCCACGCCCACCAAGCCACACCACACCCCACCAAGCCACGCCCACAGAACCAACATTTGGATTTCACTACCGAGTCTAAGCTAATTCCCCACTTGACCCCCCCCTCCTCCTCCTCCTGACTGGGACAGTTGTTCTCCAAAAAAAAGATTAGTTCCTAAGTGATCATAATAACCAAAATAATGCTCCCGAGGGTTTAAAACATAACCCCAAATAAAACATGCAATCGGCAACAACTATTAGTGCCAACCCAGATTCATTAACACGGTCAACAAAATTTAATGGGAAAACTCATTTGTGTCTCAGATGACTTTGTGGTTTCTAAAATGACATTCCGGTGACATAAATGCCGGTTAAATAATTTAACTCTAATGGGGAACCCGAAACCTGGGAGTTTGATTTGTGTCACATACACACGCCTTAGGTTGTGTGGTTTCATCATGTGTCTTTCAACCATTAAAATAACCCAAGCCATTAAGAGTCAAGGAGTACGAAGGAATTCAAATGAGTACAAGTATTTTAAAATACGGGATGGTTTTGCTTTCTAAAAAAAAAAAAAAAAAAAAGAGCTTAGTATTAGTTTTTTTAAAAAAAAATCAAAATTCATTTGTGTGAGTTAACAGTAACTATTCCGATGCCATTAATCTATTGTCGTTTCCTCAAGTATTTAATAATTTTCTTATTTCGGCAGCCCTGTTTAAAAAGAGTTTGGGAAAGTCCCTGTTGAGAGACCCAGAACTCTTTGCGGCATGAAGAATGAGGGAGGAAAAAGTTCAGTAGGCATTATTCTCGTTGGTCAAAAGTTTCCATATGTGTAGAGTGCTAGGATTGTTAAATTAGATGTCCAATTTGTTCCTTGGAACATGGGTCTCCAACCTTGGCAACTTTAAGCGTGGAGGACTTCAACTCCCAGAATTCTCCAGCCAGCTGAAGTGCTTCAACTGAGTTGAAGTGCTGGCTGGAGAATTCTGGGAGTTGAAGTCTGCCAGACTTAAAGTCGCCAAGGTTGGAGACCCCTGATTTGGAGTCCTCCTGCATCAATTTTGGGTTACAGTCTCCTTCGAAGAGATGAGGATATTCCATGGAAGACCATTGAGGTTGAACATCTTTTCATCTCCTGCTGAAAGAAGCATGGGACCAAAAATGCCCATCCCTTCTCCCTGTCTTTGGAGGCATCTGACCAAGCATCTGTCTCAGTGGGTTGAATTTTGGTTTCCTGCACAGGTCATGGATTGGGAGGACCTTCCATCTTTGGAATTTCCATCATGAACTGCCACCGAGAGGGGAATGTCTAGAGAGGCTCCGTTTTCAGAAGGCCTCTCTTAGAACTTGCCTCTGTGGATGCAGAGAGAGCTGAAGCCTCCATCTAAGGACATGGGAAGAGTAGGGTTGGTTTATCGTAAGGATCTGTTTAGGACTGGGTGAAATTGGTGCTCCTGGGACATTCCCATTTCCCCCTTCTCCACAAACAAATCTTCATTTTCCCAAACTGGGAACTTCTCAGCTTGAGTTCCAAATCTAAAATTGTTCTTAGCAATGTGACTGTTTTCATTCTTCTTGTTATAGCCTTGTGATGGCGAACCTATGGCACATGTGCTGGAAGTGGCACACAGAGCCATCTCTCCAGGCACGCGAGCTGTAATCCCGTTGCTCTTCCGGGTTCCACCGTGCCAGCCAGCTGGTCTTCAAGTGCACGGGCACGCTGGAAACCGGAAGAACAGCTGCCTGGTGAGCATGTGTGTACCAGGAAGATGATATCCTGGTTTCCGGCTAGCCACCTGGTCTTCCGTTTTTGGCCTGCACGTGCTCCCATTTTGGCAGTGGGTGCCGAAAAGGTTCGCCATCACTGCTATAGCCAAACTCGTTCCTACAGTGTAGTTCGGCAACAGCAGGCTTAGCACCACGTAGGCTGAAGATGTGTGGGCTGTAACATGTCAGGCAACGATGGACTGCCTTTTCTTGAATGGGAACTGAAGGGATGAGCCATGTTTTCTGAGGGAGGGAAACAAGAGATCTGGCAAGATAAGGAGGACTAAGTCACTCAGGACTCAGGATGTGAAGAGACGTGATAGAATCTACAGCCTTCTTTAAGGTGGAACAAACATAGGGAGCATCAACCGTTTGGCTTTTGAAGTTGACTAGGCGTGAGGAGGCCGTCCTACTGGTCTTGCTTGGATCAACACAAGGCTTCTCGCCAGCCTTAAATTATGTGGGAACCTCTCACTATGCGTAACTCTGTTCCTCAGCTAGACCCAGATACTCCTTGACCCCAGGATTGGATTAATAGTTACCCTTGTTGAGATGTTTGTAGAGCCTTCCACCCAAGATGTTTTTAGGCCAACAGCGAGCATTGACTACCAAATGCCACCCTTGAAGGCTCTTTAGAAGGGGCTGCGGAGTCATCTCCTCCCTCCAAAAAAAGGAGGACACCCCGTTCACCAACCCCAAGACAAAACAGACAAAAGTGTGTGATGCAACAAAAGTTTTAATGCAGAATGGTCAGGATGATACAGAAGAAAGGTGGGCCGGTTTTTGGGTCTCCGTGGCCCGAAATACCCAGCTACATGCTACACAACTGAGGTAGAAAGTCACATTAAACCATAGAAACATCAGAAAGGAAGAAGCACAGCTAGGTTCAAAGCACGGGTTTTAGGGGTGCTGAGCAGTTCGTAGCTTGGACTTGAAATACAGATGCTGGGTTTCTTTGGAGAACGGGCTCAAGGGAACGCTGGATCCAATTTCCTGGAGTTGGAGCTTCCACGTACAATCGGTTTGACGTTTAGCAGGGGTATTTGCAGACGCTCTGTCTACGCTTTGAACCATAGCATCGGCCACCTCCGAGGTACCCACCGGAACCTCCCAGGTACCCACCGGAACCTCCCAGGTACCCACCTCCATAATGGGAGCCATAACCTCCAGATACACCGTACCCTCCGGTGGAACATGGGGAATAACCCCCTACAGCCAAAGGCTCACAGCTGGAAGCCAAAATGGGCCCCGGGATGGTCAAAGAGAATGGAGGGGGCTGGATGACCACTTCAGAGGAGGGGATCTGGCTGATGCAAGACACGGGTACACCAGGAACCACACCGAGACTGCTGGCTGAGGTGGCATATCCGGAGCCACCACCGTATCCCATCATGCCATATCCGCCACCGAAACCGAAACCGCCACCGCCGATGCCACAGGAGCCAATGGCATGGGTGGGCCTACAGGTTGGGATGGCACAGGATGGAGCACACTGGGACTGCATGGCTGGGTGATGAGAGACGAGGCTGAAACATAGAAAGGAAAGAGAAAATATTGCATTATTTTTTTAAAAAAAAAATAAGGGGTAGGTGGTGGCCTAGGGGTGGAGCCTCTCGCCTCACAATCCAGAGGCTGTGAGTTCAATCCTAGGTAGAGGCAGATATTTTTTCTCTCTCTCTCTCTGGACACTCTGGGAATATATCTGCTGGACAAAACTCCTCACTGGCGACAGGAAGGGTATCCGGCCATTAAATCACTCTGCTAGCTCCATTCAGTTGCCCAGACTCCACCCCACAAGAAATTATGGGGGTTGTTAAATGAAGATGATGACAATGCTTGGAAAGCAAATGTAGACAATCAAATACCACCGAAAAGGGTTAACAAAACTTTGAGAGTTTGACTCAGTTTCTCAAAACTCTGAACGAGTTTAGTTAGGGTGTCAACTTCTAACCTACCAAGACTGCAGTAATAACCTTGTTTAAAGGGTTAAATCTTGGCCGTTTTCTTGGAGCTTCGCGTGTTGTGTGAATCTAGATGGCTGGTTTAGTTCCTAGCTCCAGTGTTGGCAGCAATTCAGAGATTGGGTTAACCTGTGTTGTGGGAACTTGGCTCCCGAGGAGCTTTAACCGGGAACTTAAACCGGGAGAAGCTATTTCGATGAGTCATTGGAAGAACTTCTAACCTGGCCCCATCTCAAATTGTTTCACTTAAAGTACTTGATAGAAACTTAACCTGTTGTGGAGAAAGCTGAGTTGATTTTTAAAATTGACAATTATCTGCTGAGCTGTTTTTCCAGAAGCATTAAACTGCCTCCGGTTAAAGACACACAAAAAAAAATGCTACTCCTCGTCTAAGGAAGCCAGACTATAATTATTTCATAATTCACCCTCACAGAGAAATTATACTCATATACTTAGCTTCATTATGCGTTTAGCCCAGTGCGGAGATTATATCTCAAGGACCAAACAAGGGTTTTTGTTTTTTTTTTGTGACTTTTAATCATCAAAAATGCCAGAGTTGATTACGAAAGAGAGGAGAGGCGATACAGGTTCATTAACGAATAAGTGCAGTTATTTTTGTTAATTTGGGCGAAAAGAGACCTCCAGGGCAAGATTCGTAACCGATGCCTTAAAACTGGCATGCTGAGGATTATCTGGTTGTTTGAGTTGGGGGTTTGTTTTGAGTTCTAGAAACAAAAGAAGGGAGCAAATTAAATCGTGCCTTTTCTCACACAGGATGGGTTTACGTGCTGCGCTAAACCACAGTTTGTTAAACCTTGGTTTGAGGCGTCAACTGAAGAATGGGTTGGCACAAGATGCTAGCATTTAAGTATGGTCCTGGAACTCCCTCATCTAAATTTTAGTGTGCCTGGGGTTGTTCCTAAGGTGTTTTTTTTCAAGAGGCAACTGGACTTTCTGGTTTTTTTCTTTGAAGAGGTTTCGCTTCTCATCCAAGAAGCTTCTTCTTGTTCTTGGGGACAACCATGACTAAGAATTCCCATAGACGTGCCTGGCGTTGATTCTCTTTGAAACGAGAAAGCTGAGCTATCAGAAGTCATTGGAGAGCCTCAACTTAGAGGTTCTTCCAGTGTCTCATGGAAATAACTCCTCCTACAGCTCCTGGTTAAGGCTACCAGGAGAGCCAAGTTCACACAACACAGATTAACCAGTTACTGTGTAAATCCAGAGTCTGGACTGGTGCCATCACTGGAGTTAGTAACTGAACCTTCAGAAATCGTGGACGCTCCATCATTGGAGGTTTTTAAGAAGAGACTAGACAGCCACTTATCTGAAATAGTATAGGTTCTCCTGCTTGAGCAGGGGGCTGGACTAGAAGACCTCCAAGGTCCCTTCCAGTTCTATTCTATTCTAAACCACCCCTCTGGATTCACACAACATGCAAGGCCGCAAGAAAACAGTCAAGATTTAACCCAAACCAAGTTGAGTGAATGCAGCCCTGTCGACATTTCCAGATGTGACCGTGGACCGTTAAGTAATTATGTCAGCCAGACTTTTAATACATTCAGTATCGTTTTGATTCCACGGAAATCAAATTGTTTAGCCTAAGCCTCTTGGATTCATACGACATGCAGGGCCCGCAAGAAAACAGCCAAGATTTAACTCCAGTCATTGAATGCAGCCATGTCGATGTTTCCGGAGGTCAGCGTCAAACGGAACACGGCGAGTAAGTAATTATTTGGGGGAGAATTTTAATTCACTCGACATCATTTTTTAATTGCAAGGGACATCAAATCAAAGTTTAAGCCTAAACTCTGCAGGACCGTCATCTTCTACAAGGGGAGATCGTGGTTCAGTAAAAACCATTCCGCATCCTAGCTTAGTTAGACATGTCCAATTTCTGAGCTTGTGAAGAGCGTTTCCCTGAGAGCCATTTTAGAGGCCTAATATATCCCACAAATACAACTCCTCTTGAAATGTTGCTGGTTGAATCGAGCGAGCTGGTAGGTTTTTATTTTATTTTATATTTCAAATTTATATACCGCACCTTCTCCCAAGGGGACTCAGGGCGGTGTTTTGATCCGAGTTCGGATCGCTCCGTTTCGACTGCCGTCGAAAATCGGAGCCACTCCGAGGAACAAGAAGCACGATACACATTGAATAATGAATAAAAAGAACGAGTCCTTACCTTGTGCTGTAATGCAGAAGGAGAAGATATCAAGAGAGGGAAGGCTTGTGAAGACACCTCAACTGATCCAGCCTTTTATACTCTTTTTGGGGACGGGGCAAGTCACAAAGAAACGAGGCGTATCACGATGCATGAAAGGCTTTAATTGTTTTCTTAACAGGCTTTGATTGTTATCTTCCTTGCCCCAAATAATTGCATGGTGTTTGCCTTCTGGGTTTTTTTTTTTTTTGTTTGTTTGTTTTTTGGTCCCCTTGCTAAAGAGCCGTGGACGGTGGCCCATCCTTCTACACACGTCCTAATCTTTTTGCAAAAACACTCCACCCAACGGAGCTATTTTATCTGTCGTTCGCCCTTGGTAACCTTCCCGTTTCAAAATAATCATGATATTAAATAATAAAGCAGAAAGAGAGAGGATGCTGAAAATTGGGATAACGAGAAATCCCCGCCCTGGGTGAGGGAGATTTCGGTGCACTTATCTCAAATTGGAACTCAAGGACATGTTCGAATTGGCAAGGCATTTGGGAGTCAACCTGGATTTTTTAGCTCAGCGGAGATGATTGTGGACTTTGCTGAATTGACAGAATGTCCTGAACCCAGTATTCAGGGTCATTTCTCCGGAAGAGTCATCTTTACTCCTACTAAAATCAGAATATGTCATCATAAACAGGACCGATTTTCTCCTTTTTTGTGACTTCTTCGTGATTTAATGTTGGGTTCCTCTAGAGTCTACAACAAGGGTATGGGATTTAAACATCACTTTCAAATTCTCTCTTTCTCCTTCTCTCTCTCCTTCTCTCTCTTTCTCCTTCTCTCTCTCCTTCTCTCTCTCTCCTTCTCTCTCTCCTTCTCTCTCTCTCTTTCTCTTTCTCCTTCTCTCTCTCCTTCTCTCTCTTTTTCTCTCTCTTTTTCTCTCTCTCCTTCTCTCTCTCTCTTTCTCTCTTTCTCCATCTCTCTCTCCTTCTCTCTCTCCTTCTCTCTCTCTCTCCTTCTCTCTCTCTCTCTCTTTCTCTCTCTCCATCTCTCTCTCCTTCTCTCTCTCCTTCTCTCTCTCTCTTTCTCTCTCTCCTTCTCTCTCTCTCTTTCTCTCTCTCTCCTTCTCTCTCTCCTTCTCTCTCTCTTTCTCTCTTTCTCCATCTCTCTCTCTTTCTCTCTCTCCTTCTCTCTCTCCCTCTCTCTCTCCTCTCTCTCTCTCTCTCTCCTTCTCTCTCTCTCTCTCTTTCTCTCTCTCCTTCTCTCTCTCCTTCTCTCTCTCTCTCCTTCTCTCTCTCTTTCTCCTTCTCTCTCTCTCTCTGTCAATGAAGATTCTCAGTCATCCAGGTCAGTGGTGAAATCCTCAAAGTTTTGCCACCAGTTTGCTGTGCGTGCATGCACAGTGCATGCCAAATGCACACTTCACATGGAAAAAGGAGGCTTAAGAAGGTAAGTAGAACAGTGAGGGGGGGGAAACAGTTGTGCCACGCGATTTAGAGTCACTAGAAAGCGAATTTAAATTGTGCGGCACAGCTGATCGTCCTTTTTTTTTTTTTACTATCGGTTAGCCCAAACTTGTGCGAACCAGTAGCATTTCATCCCTGATCCAGGTCATGGTTGTCCCAAAGGTGCTTTTTCAAAAGGCAACTAGACTTTGTTTTTCCTTGAAGACATTTCACTTCTCATCCAAGAAGCTTCTTCGGTTCTGAGTGAACAGTTCAGTTCTTCAGTCAGAATTGAAGAAGCTTCCTGGATGAGAAGCGAAATGTCTTCAAGGAAAAATGAAGTCCAGTTGCCTCTTGAAAAAGCACCTTTGGGTCTCTCTCTCTCTCACACACACACACACATACACCTTTTTTTCTTTCTTTCTTTCTTTCTTTCTTCCTTCCTTTCTTTCTCTCTTTCTGTCTTTCTTTCTCTGTGTGTGTGTCTTTCTTTCTCTCTCTCTCACAACACACACACACACACACACACACCTTTCTTTCTTTCTTTCTTTCTTTCTTTCTTCCTTCCTTTCTTTCTCTCTTTCTCTCTTTCTGTCTTTCTTTCTCTCTGGGTGTGTCTTTCTTTCTCTCTCTCTCACAACACACACACACTCCTCCCTCTCTCTTTTTCTTTTTTTCTTTCTTCCTTCCTTCCTTTCTTTCTTTCTCTCTTTTTCTCTCTCTCTCTGTCATTCTCTGTTTGTTTTTTTTTAATCTTATGAGCTGACCAATGCCAAATACTTGAGCTGGGCAGCCATCTAAATTAATAAAATTAATAAATAAATAAATAAATAATAAATTCCCCAAACCAATAAACAAAACTGAACGAATAAGTGCCAAGAAAAAAAGGAGCTACTCATTTACAGAGGGGTGCATTTCCTGGGGGATAATTCACTGTGTCTATTTACACTCTTATTTTCTTTCTTTTCTAATTGTCCAGAATTGGTGGATAACAAAACAAGGGGAACCTTAGCCAATCTCAACCCAAAGGGGCCTTCAAAGGCTGCAGATGGACACAGGACTGTAAGTGGCCCAGCTCCATTAAGGATGCCCGATTTTTTTTTTTGTCCTCTTTCCCCGGCGGGCAACTCAACCCCAAAAGGATCCAAATTTTCAAAGGAAGCGGAAGAAGAAGAAGAAGAAATATATATATTTCTGCCAGAGAGTTGCTGTTTTCAACAAGCTTTTTTTTTTTTGAAGCTTGTTATTCTGGTAGCGTTTGGGTTCCACCCAATTCGGATGACCAATATCAGAAATAAAAATCTACCCACAAAAACCACTTGAAAAGCAACCTGTTTCTTCATCAGGCTTTGCACACACACACAAAAAAAAAAAAAGAAGAAGAAGGAAGGGAAAAAAACCCACACACAAACACACGCACTTCACGCAAACACTTTAAACCAATTGTTTCAGGGTGTCCACCGCAATTAATCATCGGTCATAATGGCGTGATAACCATGCAGATGTTTTACAGATGATGTTTGTCCCCGTTCATTAAAAAAAAATAAATTGCTGATCTTCCTTTGGCTGCAAGGTCTTAAGGATTCTCTCCTTGAGATCCGTCCCCATTTTCTGTGCATGAAAGAAGGGGGAGGAAGGAAGGGAAAAAAAGAAAAAAAAACAGAAGTCGAAAAAGAGGCACCCCACTAATTAGAGGTTTTGCAAAGTGTTTAGATCGTTTGGGTCAAAGAGGTCTCAAATCACAGCCGCCACTTTTCCTCCGGCATTCCTGCCAGCTGATGCTCGGAAATGAATCAAGCATCAGCCGGATGAAATCATCAAGAGAGTTATCAGTCAGCAGAAGACATTAGTTTTTTTTTAAAAAAAAAAAATTGCCCTGGTCTGTGTCCTTAAAAACTTGGTTTTTCTTATTGCAATATGGACTCCTTCTTGGAAATAATATTTTTTTTTTCTTTTAAAATAGCTCCGGTCTCCTACATTCCTTGCAAATACAACAAGATTTTCATTCTTCCTAAATTTTCTTTTAATATAGTCTTGGCTAAAGGTAAAAGTTCCCCTCGCACATATGTGCTAGTCGTTCCCGACTCTAGGGGGCGGTGCTCATCTCCGTTTCAAAGCCGAGGAGCCAGCGCTGTCCGAAGACGTCTCCGTGGTCATATGGCTGGCATGACTCAACGCCAAAGGCTCATGGAACGCTGTTCCCTTCCCACCAAAGGGGGTCCCTATTTTTCTACTTGCATTTTTATGGGCTTTCGAACTGCTAGGTTGGCAGAAGCCAAGTCATGGGAACTCACCCCATTATGCAGCACTAGGGATTCGAACCGCTGAGCTGCCGACCTTTCAATCGACAAGCTCAGCGTCTTAGCCACTGAGCCATAGTCTTACCTGGTCCCTTTCAAATCTCTAAACCAGGGGTCTCAAAACTTGGAAACTTGTGGGCGTCATCTCCCAGAATTCCCCAGCCAGCATGGCTGACTGAGGAATTCTGGGAGTTGAAGTCCACCCGTCTTAAAGTAATCAAGATTGGAGACTCCACTGATCTAGATTCTGAACTCTAATCTTTTAGTCTTTCAACTCATATCTTAACTGGAACTAAGGAGACGCTTCCTGGCAGTGAGAACAATTAACCAGTGGAACAGCTTGCCTCCAGAAGTTGTGGGTGCTCCATCACTGGAGGCTTTCAAGAAGAGACTGGAAGAAGAATAATGGGTGGAAACTAATCAAGGAGAGATTCAACCTAGAAATTTTCTGAGAGTGAGAACAATCAACCGATGGAACAGAAGTTGCCTTCGGAAGTTGTGGGAGCTTCATCACTGGAAGCTTTCAAGAAGAGACTAGATGGCCATTTGTCAGAAGTGGTGTAGGGTCTCCTGCTTTTGGGGGGGTGGACTAGATGACCTCCAAGGTCCCTTCCAACTCTGTTATTCTATTCTATTCTATTCTATTCTATTAACCCACCTCGTGATAGGTCATTTCTGAATATTGGATGTAACTTGTCCTTGAAACAGGGCAAAAAGATATTTATTTACCAAGGTTGACTCAGCCTTCCATCCTTCCGAGGTGGGTAAAATGAGGACCCAGATTGTTGGGGGGCAATATTATGCTGACTCTGTAAACCGCTTAGAGAGGGCTGTAAAAGCATCGTGAAGCGGTATACAAGTCTAAGGGCCACTGCTATTATTAGCAATAGCAATTAGCAATGTTTTCCCGAGTTTTGCGGGTATTCTGGAGATAGACAAGAAGCAAACCACTTCTAGGAAGAGATGGTGGGTGACCTTGGAAAGAAAAATAATGGGATGGGTAATTTTTTTAATGAGAAGAAGCAATGAAGCAACACCAAAGGAATGTTAATCTTGTTGCATATGCCTTGTTGGTCCATAGAGTCTCATCCAACCCTCCAGAGGTTCTCACTGGCCTTTCCATGTGCTTAGCATGTCCATGTCCTTCTGTTTCCTTCCGCTTATCATGTCCATTGTATGTTTCGGAGTTTAAGCCCTCTTATCTAACATCCTTCATTGCATCCCCCTTAATCACAGGCTGAGGAAGTAACTCAGCATTGAGGCATGGACAATGAGACTCCTCCGTGATGCTGACGTGAATCATCTCTACCCATGCTTGACCTTTGAATTTGAAAGTCTCTGATCAGAAGGACCTCAACCACCAAGCTTCTCCACCCTGCTCCTCAGAAAATGCTTTAGTGTATCAGTTCTCTGGTAATTTACACCCAGTTGTATGACATGATCTACAGAGCTTCTTCAACAATCAAGAATTCCTGAATTGTAAGATAAGGAAGATGAGATAGATCTTCTGAAGTTGAGTAGAAGCCAATCAACACACCCTTCTCAGGAAGGCTGCTTTTTCTGACGTTTAGCTGGGAAAGTATGGTAGCGTTGACACATTGATAGGAGCTCAACCTTCATCCAAAGATCTATCTGATATTTTCTTCTGGCTCAGCTAGATGGGATAATTCAAATTTCAACTAGATCCCTTCCAACTCTCTTTGGGAACTTAAGCAAGTAGGTTTGGGAGAAAAAATAAGTATACCCAATTTGAGAATTGGACAATACTGAAACATCTGGAGAAAAACAAGGATTTTAATTCTTTCTGCCTTATGAATGTATCTCAGTTTCTTATGAAACCTATTCAGCTAGGGATGCTTCTTGTCACTTGAATTAAATGAGCAATGAATACTACGTTTTGGGGTATTTTTTTTTTAAATGAATTTTTAAATAGGACACAAGTTAATTGTGGGCGGCACCCAAATTAAAAAGCAAGGCCATTTTTTAAAACAAGAAGGGGATAATGTTGAAGATGTCATTTCTAAAATTGCTGACGATGATGAGAAAATAAAGCCAATTGGATTAGAACTCCATACAATACTATGGAGCCACTATTAATTAAGTACTTAGAAAAATATGGTGTCTTAATCCCAGCTCAGGGCCCAAATTTGGATATAAAAAGAATGTCAAATTCGAGCTTTCTCAGGTGCTTCTTCTCCTTATCTTCAGATTCAGGTAAGACTATCTTCTTTTGTTAATTCTATCTTTTTCTTTTCTTTTCTTTTCTTTTTTGAGAAATGAGATGCCCAACCCAGTTTTCATTTCAACGCCAGGAACAATCTCAATCCAGATGTTTACTTTGATCCAGATCAAACTTTGCCCCAAACAAGCAAACTTCTCAAAGGGAAGTTCTCGTTTCTGCAAAGTTTGATCTGCATCACTGGAGGTTTTTTAAGAAGTGACACTAGACAGTCCTTTATCTGAAATGGTATAGGGTCTCCTGTTTGAGCAAGGGGGCTGGACTAGAAGACCTCCAAGGTCCCTTCCAGCTCTATTCTATTATATTGGACGACGGTGGACAGAGATGGAGAAGACGAAATCTCCACCTCGGATCTTCTAAAAGAGATATTGTCCACCAGGTTCCTGGGGAAAGTCCTAAAGAGAGCTGCCTTCTTTTCTCACATACGTTTTGAAGAGGATGGGGGCAGCTGCTAAGAGGGAGGGTGTGTCCATTATTTTAATAATCCCCCTAAATGTACTGGTCTGGTCATAGATTTGAGGGTGCCGTGGTGAGAGAAACAGCAGCTTGCAGCAAAACATAGTGGAGAAGATCTGTAGAACACTTTGTGGAAGCATAGCAATCAAAGTATTGAAGCGGGCAAGAGACGATGGATAGATGATTTTTCATTTTTTTTATTATTCTGATTTGCTTTTGCTTTTCTCTCTCTTTCTTTTAAAGCTTTTAAAGCATAGCAATTAAAATTTCGAAGCAGGCAAGAGAAGATGGATGGATGATCCTTTGTTGTTGCTGCTGTTGTTGTTATGATTTGCTTTTCTGCTCCTCCCTTTCTTTCTTTCTTTCTTTCTTTCTTTCTTTCTTTTCTTTTCTTTTCTTTTCTTTTCTCTTTTTAGGTAGGTAACTTGACTAGAAGTTAGATAGGATAAACAGAAAAAGTTTGTTTGATTTTTAAATAAAGTGTGACATGATTAAAAGCTAGAATGAGTCTCCGGAGAAGGGCGGCATATAAATCAAATTTAAAAAAAAAAGAATAAGTGATAGAAATAAGAGAAGGGGGAATATTAGTGTATACGCTTGATAATAATAAAAGTAGTAACAAGATATAATATGGAATAATTGAATAATGATGGACTATAGCTTAATATAAATGTGTATTATTATTAGAAATACATACGTGGACTGAATGTAATCATTATGATCAATTTTATGTATGACACCCAGTGTGGCATACATAAAATTATGTATGGGTGTCATACATTCTAATACAATTTTGTATGACACCCAGCTGCCACACTGTTCACACATTGATTTATATATATCTTTATATCTTTATATTTTAAAGAACATTTTGTAGGGCTTCCTATTGTCTTGTCCTCTCCTGGGGAAAGGAGAAGATAAGACCAAGGGGGGGGAAACGTATCTCAGAATGATTCTTCCGTATGAAAAGTTTAATCTCAGCTCTAGTTTACAGAAGTCATAGAGAATCTGACTTTTGGAAGCAAAGAGGACAAGAAGCGGTGAAGATGACATCCCATCGAGAGCTTCCTCTTAGAAAAGAATAGAATAAACAGAGTTGGAAGGGACCTTCTAGTCCAACCCCTTGCTTAGGCTGGAAACTCTACACCACTTCGGACAAATGGTTATCCAACATCTTCTTAAAAACTTCCAGTGTTGGAACATTCACAACTTCTGGAGGCAAGTTGTTCCACTGGTTAATTGTTCTCGCTGTCAGGAAATTTCTCCTTAGTTCTAGGTTGCTTCTCTCCTTGATTAGTTTCTACCCATTGCTTCTTGTCCTGCCCTCAGGTGCTTTGGAGAATAGCTTGACTCCCTCTTCTTTGGGGCAGCCCCTGAGATATTGGAAGACTGCTATCATGTCTCCCCTAGTCCTTCTTTTCATTAATCTAGACATACCCAGTCCTTCTGCATATTAGCTTGCTAATATCCGATATCTAGAACTAGTCCTAGGATGGGGATAAGCTCAGACCCTATGCTGTCTCAGGCTAGAATAAAAACATCCTCAAAGCTTTGGTGGTATCTCCAGAAGCCATCAGAGATGGACCTTGCGTATTTCTCTAACCAAGAAGTTCCTCTGAAATTGTATTGACTGTGTAAGTATGGAGCTTAGATCAGAAAGCGAAGTAGTTAGCTGAGTTTCATGTTTTCTGCTTCTTTTCATCTCTGGTTTCCATGCTTTTCTTCCCAGCCAACCGCCGTCACTTCAACATGGCTTGTTTCAACCCATCCTACACCATGCCAGGTGCCTTCTCAAACGTTGGACTTGGGTCCTGCAGAACTGGGCCCAACCGCGTCTCTGGTTGTGGTGGCTATGGTTACAGTGGCTTTGGAGGAGCCATCGGTGGAGGGCCATCAGGCATGCTTGGTTTGACTTCTGGAGCCAACTTCTCAAGAACCAGCCAGCTCCCACCATCGGAGATAGTGATCCAGCCGCCTACGTGTGTGTTGACGATTCCTGAACCCGTCGTCTCTGCAATCATGCCCCCAGTGATACTCAGTAGTTCCTCGCCCTGCTCTTATGGATCCTTGGGTTATGGGTCAGGTTATGGCTATGGGTCAGGTTATGGCTATGGGTCAGGTTCAGTTGGAGGTTGTCCCAGGGGAGATATCATGGGTGGCTTCCAAAGCATTGGTCCACCAAGGGGTCGATGCAACATCTACCGGTATCCCTGCTAAATCAAGATGAAGATTACGGCCAAGTTCTAAGAGAGAGGACTTGGTGTCAACCCTTGTTGATGGCCTGGCAATGCTCATAAGAAGTGAAAAGGTCAATATCTATGACCCATGGAGTTCTATTGTTCATTTCCTTGTTCTTTTTTTTCCCCCTTGCTTTCCCTGTTCGTTCCCTTACTCCCTCTTTAATAGGTCAAGGATCTATCTAGTTTCTCAACTCCGCATTGTTTTAGAGAATTCTGTCTATGAAGCACGTTCCATTGAATGCCTTCCCTTGATCGTCTGTCTCTTTGTAACGTGGGATGTTGGTTTCCTAGATGATAATTCCTAATAAAATGTATTCAGCATCACAGATGCCGTTTCCTGTCCTCCTTACGTGTCTTGTCATTAAGATTTGGGAATTGCTGAGACAGAATTCCGGCTGATCTAACCACAACCTAGATTTTGAATGTCTTCACCGGTTCCTATGTCACACCCTTCTGTGGGACTGGTAGCCCTGTGACATCTCGAGAGCCACTTGCCTGAGTAGACTGAACAGCCTAAATGGAAATCATACAAATAAGAAGGAATTAGAGAACAAGCAACGATTTGCATCAGGAGAGAGAAATAAATTTAGAATTAGAGTTGGAGAACAAGCAATGATTTGCATCAGGAGAGAGAAATAAATTCAGAATTAGAGTTAGAGAACAAGCTACGATTTCCATCAGGAGAGAGAAATAAGTTCAGAATTAGAGTTAGAGAACAAGCAACGATTTGCATCAGGAAAGAGAAATAAATTCAGAATTAGAGTTGGAGAACAAGCAACAATTTGCATCAGGAAAGAGAAATAAATTTAGAATTAGAGTTAGAGAACAAGCTACGATTTCCATCAGGAGAGAGAAATAAATTTAGAATTAGAGTTGGAGAACAAGCTACAATTTGCATCAGGAGAGAGAAATAAATTTAGAATTAGAGTTAGAGAACAAGCTACAATTTGCATCAGGAGAGAGAAATAAATTTAGAATTAGAGTTAGAGAACAAGCAACGATTTGTATCAGGAGAGAGAAATAAATTTAGAATTAGAGTTAGAGAACAAGCTACGATTTCCATCAGGAGAGAGAAATAAGTTCAGAATTAGAGTTAGAGAACAAGCAACGATTTGCATCAGGAGAGAGAAATAAATTCAGAATTAGAGTTAGAGAACAAGCTACGATTTGCATCAGGAGAGAGAAATAAATTTAGAATTAGAGTTAGAGAACAAGCAACGATTTGTATCAGGAGAGAGAAATAAATTTAGAATTAGAGTTAGAGAACAAGCAACGATTTCCATCAGGAGAGACAAATCACCTTAGCTGTTAAAGAAAACTGTGAGGATGGAGTAACATGGTGGAGACGACATTTAGATATGATTTTTAATACTATTTTTTTCTTTTAAAACTGCATGTCGGTGGCTTGTGTCTTTTCCTACACAACCAACCCGCGTGCCTAGCAAGCTGCGTTTTACAAGATAATTGTGGCGTCAACCCCAAAGACAGTAGCACGGCCCCCAAACCATGGTTCACCAAAGCCACATCTTTAGCCCGATGTGTGAACCAACCCTCGAGCAAAACCACGATTAAAGACTGTGAAATTTGGCCCCGATGCTCCAGGGCTCTTTGAGAAAATCACACACACACACATATGGAGCCCGTCTGTAAAATAGATTTATCTCGACGCAGCCACCTGCTCTGCCACTAATTGCCAATGACGGTAAATTATGACGAATTAAAAACTCATTCACAAAGAATTAATGGCAAATAGTTTCCACACCGAAAACGGCATTCTTTTCTTGTCTGGAAATCGCCAGAACTCCTTCCATATGTGCTAATTAAACCCTGAATTACACCCCAACCTTTAAAGCTTTGATTCTCATTAGATCTCAATCATCAAAGGAAGCATCTTCCCCCTCAGCAGAAAAACACAGAGAGAGAGAGAGAGAGTGAGACGCTAAAATAGGGGTTTTCTTTTTTTTTTCTATGAATATTCATCTCTGCTAAAACTTTTATCTCTCCCTGCCTAAAAAAACCGGTGAGTCGGCTGGAAAAAAAAAGAAACGAACGTAGGTTTTGTTTTTTTAACTGATTGGCGGATGCCAAAGTTTTGTTTTTGCAAGAAAAAATATTGCCGTATCAGCAAGAGAACCGATTTGTAGACAAGGCCAAGAGAAAACGGCTAATGTATCGTGAGAAAGTAGAATATTGTCCAATAAAATCAAGAGAAGAGCAGGCGACAGGGGTATACACAGGGGTGAAATCCAGCAGGTTCTGACAGGTTCTGGAGAACCGGTAGTGGGAATTTTGAGTAGTCCGGAGAACTGGCAAATACCACCTCTGGCTGGCCCCAGAGTGGGGTGGGAATGGGGATTTTGCAGTATCCTTTCCCTGCCATGCCCACCAAGCCACGCCCACAGAACCAGTAGTAAAACAATTTGGATTTCACCACTGGGTATACAGTAGTAGTTACTCCTGGTTTACTTATCTTCCGTGGGGAGAAAAATTTACAGAAGGCAGAAAGATGAAGGTTTTGAAACAATGTGTGTGGAATAGAATTGGGGGCAAATTAGGAATGTGGAATTGCTGAAAGGTTATAAGCCTTCATTGAAACTTGAAACTGAAGGAGAACAAGTGGGAGAAAGAATGAAAAAGTCAGCTGAAAACATATTAAATACAGATGGATCAATGGGAAAACAGGTGGCTGAAGACTAAAATGTACATGATGTTCTTGTCTTCAAAAGAATTTTTTATAAAATGAGCTTTCAAGGGCCCTGCAACTTTGCAAGTGGCCACAAGACGGCAGCAGGAGAAAGTTTGTGGATGGATGAATGGATGCATGGATGGGAGGGAAGGAGAGAGGAAGGAAGGAAGGAAGGAAGGAAGGAAGGAAGGAAGGAAGGAAGGAGGAAGATAAGCGGATCTTAGGGATGGATGGATGATAGGTGGGTGGGTGGGTGGGAGGAAGGGAGAGAAGATAGAAAGGAAGGAAGGAAGGAAGGAAGGCCTTTTTTCCACCCAGGTGCCCAACTATGATGTCTTCCTTCCATGGTGGTATCGCCACAAATGTTATGATTCCTGTGGCTATGATGGCATAGGAGATTGATGGGGTTCCCGATGGGGCCATCCACCATGCTATCCATACAAACTAAATTAAATTCAACAATTGATTCAACCGTTGGAATAGAATTCCATTTCCCTGCAGTGTTTGTTACGGCCACACGGTGGCACTGCTTAACCAAAGATTTTTCTTTTTTTTAAGATTAACTTTATTTTTATTGTCCCGTGTGGGTCAAGAATAACAGATGCGGTGTATAGGGGTCCCATCCTTTCTTTTCCAGGGTTACGTTTTGAACCCTTTACTATTATTCTATACTAAAATATTAAAAAAAAAAAAAAACAGAGGGGCCCTCCTGTGGCCAATCTCAGCTATTGCATCTTCAAAAATGAAGGTTAAGCAGCGTTTCACTGAATAAGCCACTAGATGGCACTGCTTAAGCAACCAAAATCTATGCAAAGCGGCACAATGCGGACTATCGCTCATTGCCCTATTTGTCAATCCTGAACCTGTTTAACCAGTGCCCTAAACCTAATTTAAAAACAGAAATATAAACCTGCATGTCTTCCTAACAGCCACCAGGTGGCTGATTTTAATGATCCAAAAAAGCTTAATGCCAAAATAGCACCACCCAGTGGTGATTATGGAGAGGTTCATTTACGTTTATTTATAAATTGTACTCAATTTTGCTGGATAATCTGGTTCCTTTGGTGGTTGCTAACTAAATGTATCTGATCTGATCCGGCCTTTGAAGACTCCCCACAAAGTAAAAACCCTCCTTATTTACACCTTGGAAATTAACTGCCTTCACCAACAGAAAGTCCAGGCAAGAGTCCTGCAAGGAGTTAATTGAAGCAATAGTCCTTATCAGCTCATTAAGATAAATGCAAAATGATGAGCTCCTAGCCGGAAGGCTGCAAATAAATCAGAGGATGTTGTGGCCCACCAGCGGCCTGCGTGGATCGTGGCTGATCCCGATGATGAGGAGGCTGATGTGGTATCACGCCAGCAGCCTGCACAGCCAGCGCTCGCGTTGGACAGCGAGGAGGCCGAAGAGGATGTGATGCCAGAGGCAGAGACTCAGCCAGGGCCTTCAGAACCTCCAGGGGCTCCTTCCAATGGAGAGAGTGAAGTGGAGGAGCCTCTCCTCAATGCTTGAGCACGCAGGGCTGCCAAAAGGCAGGAGTGGCTACTCAGGAGGAGGAGGTCTCTTTGAGAGTAGGGCTTGAGGATAATTGGCCACTCCCTTAGCCTATTTAAGTCGCACGCAACTAGTGCTTTCTTGCTAGAAACAACGTCTCATTACTACAGAGCATCTTGGAGAGCGAACAACTTCTCATATCTGGTTTTCTGGGCTCGTTTGTCGGACTTTGTTCTTAATAACTTTGATAAGGACCCTTTGCGCGGGAAGCCTGCATTCTTGAAAGGGGTTTGTTTGGAATTAAACAGTGTTTGCGAAGCTTGGTGTGTGTCACATTCTCTGGGAATCCGAAGCTGGGGCAGAACAGAGCAATAGACAAACCTCAGTTCTGGCAAGGCAATCTTTGTCACATGAAACACACAAGGAGCAAACTTTCTAGAAATACGAATGGTTGTCTCCTACGACAGCCACTCCCCTTTCCTTCTATTTATTCCCCAGCCAGGGAGGGGCCATTCAGTGTCCACGTTTGCTTTGCTTCCCAAGTCGACTCCTTGTCCTCCGTTGCTCACCTCTCCTAACTGCTCTGCGCATACGTGCATCTGGAACAGGTCCCAGCTGTTCTTCCTCCTCCTCACTCATCTCAGCCTCCAAAGGCAGCTGCCTCTCCGGTGGCTGGGAAATGTCAGATGGCCCCACCTCCATCTCTGTGTCCCACGCAGAGCATCCATCAGAGCCTTCCCCAGATTCCAGGACTGGCCCACGTTCCTCCCCAACCTCTTCATTGCCCGAGTCTTCTGTGGGCCACAACAGTATCTATTCTCCTGATCCAGTTAACAAACTCCTTAGATCAGATGGTTCATAGATCAACAGGACAAAATAAAAGTCCATTTTCAATAGTAGTAACTACAAGTTTAATTCAAATTTGGAATTTCTACCTGGGGTTTTTTTTCCCCTTTGTTAAGGAAATATCATGAATAGATTATAGATATCTGTCCAGAATTACTAGTTGTTGTGGTTGTTGAAATAGGGGGAAAATAGGGTGTATAAATTATATGTTTATGCTGAACAGGACAAACAACACAAGATTTATAGCTTCAAATGTTTTTCTCAAATGTTTTTATTTGTAAAAAAAAATCATAAATCATTACCATATTTAGAGGTATGGACTTAGATGGGGAAATAAAGATATGTTTAAAGAGAAGGAGGAGGAGGAGGAGGAGGAGGAGGAGGAGAAGAAGAAGAAGAAGAAGAAGAAGAAGAAGAAGAAGAAGAAGAAGAAGAAGAAGAAGAAGAAGAAGAAGAAGAAACAAGAACGAATTAGATATCTTCTCTCCTTTTCCGATTTTTCTTTTCCTTCATAAGTTTTAGACAATTGCTCCTGTATTCAACGAAAAGCTTTGAAACTATTCCAACTCTGTTGGAATTGGGCTACTTTCAATTCCCTCAATCTTACATTTTTCTACACACTCGCACAGGAATCGCAGGTAAACCCTAACGGCCTCTGCTGAATAAATGTATAAATTGAAAATACGTAGGAATGGAATTTGACTCGCAAAATAAACCTCAGCGGAGATTTGCATGCAAACAGCATGGAAAGGCGAGTTCATTTAATTGGCAGTTTTCTGTCACCGACGTTGGTTTGGAGAGATTCTCTTGTTTTTTCCCCGCTCATGTACACCGGAGGTTTGTACACCCAATATAACACTCTGTGCGATGAACAAACCGTGTCACAAAATTCTGGGAAGTGCACATATCAAAAGAGGACTGCCTTCCAGTTTTGTATATTGAGATTTTTGGGGAATGTCAAATGTTTCTTTGCAGAGAGAAAATCCTCTCTGCTCTTTTTTTTATAAAAAATATGGGTTGAGCTACACCTCTGGCGTTCAAAACGGCCAGTTAATCGCCGAGCAATATTTCTTCCCGGTGTTTGAAATTTTCACCGTTTTGGACAGGTTTTTGGGGGCTGGGAAGATGGCCGTGTGGGCAAGGCTGGGCTGAGATCCCTTGACCAAGGAGGTCCGAGAAGGTTTGACCAGGGAAGCCCGCGAGCCCTTGAAGAAATGAGCTTGGGAGGTTTTCGTGAGAAAAGAATGGGCCCCTCTCTTGATGAACGAATGCGAAAGCGTCAGGAAGTTGGCCCGTGGAACCTTCGTGGCGATGACCCGTGAACCTTTGACGGCCTTTGGTTGGGAGGAGAGCTTGGCCTCAGGTTGCGGCGGGTCATTGATCATGGGGGGAGCTGAATCTCTGACTCGGTTTCCTTGAGTGAGCTTTGAGGGATACTGTGTGGGTCTTTTGGTCCTCTGAGATAGTTCTTCCTTACTCGAGCAAAGCAAAGGATCCTCAGATGCGTAGAAGGTCGGTCGCCTGGAGACCCGTGGGACCTGGGTTAAGCCCGGGTGAAGATCTCTGGAGGAATAGAGCACTGGACCTTTGGTCATCCGAGGGACACGCTCAGGAATCATACAAGGCAACGAACCTTTGTGGATGGGGCCGTGTGGGCCTTTTGTCGTGCCGTCGTATCCGGCTGTACTCTGAATTTGGTGTTGAAAGTCCTCTACATATGGCCTCACCGGATTTCTGGTTGTTCTCGGTTTGGAGAACTTGCTCGGGCACACGTCGAACTCCACAGGGATGGTCCGGGGTTGATACCCAGCTACGCGGGCTGGCAAGTACGGCGTCACCCATATCCCACGTCTGTAGAGTGGGATGTTTCTGAAGGAAATCAACTTTGTCCCATAGAGTGGGATATATTGGGATCCATATCTCGGAAGTCTTTTTTTAACGAACATTGGCAACGGGGGACCTATCGGCTTACAATGATAGGCATAATAGGGCATCTTTTCTCGGGCATAGCGATACCTATAGGAAGAAAAGAGGAACTGCTTATGCCTAGACTTTCAGCCCCCCTGGCTTCATTGATTCATTCAATGCATCAGCAATAACTATTCATTCTTTCTTTCCTTCTTTCCTTCTTTCATTCCTTCTTTCATTCATTCATCCATCTATCCATCCACCCGTTCATCCTTTCATTCATTCATTCACTTTCAGCCCCTTGGTTTCATTGATCCATTCAATACATCAGCAATAACTATTCATCCATTCATTTATTCTTTCTTTCATTCATTATTTCTTTCATTCATTCATTTTCAGCCCCTTGGTTTCATTGATCCATTCAATACATCAGCAATAACCATTCATCCATTCATTTATTCTTTCATTCATTAATTCTTTCTTTCATTCATTCATTCATTCACTTTCAGCCCTTTGATTTCATTGAGTCATTCAATACATTAGCAATAACCTTTCTTTCTTTCTTTCTTTCTTTCATTCATCCATGCATTCATTCATTCACTTTCAACCTCCTGGTTTCATTGATCCATTCAATACATCAGCAATAACCATTCATCCATTCTTTCATTCATCCATTCTTTCTTGCTTTGATTCATTCATTCACATTCAGCCCCTTGGTTTCATTGAGTCATTCAATATATCAGCAATAACCATTCATTCATTGATTCATTCATTGATTCATTCATTGATTCATTCATTGATTCATTCATTCATTCATTCATCCATGCATTCATTCATCTTTGTTCTGCACATTTTTAAGGATGGATTTTAAAGATTTGCAACATGCTTTGCAGGTGACATAACGGACTGGACAAAGGGTTAGGATTAAGGTTAGATAATGCCTCACCCTACTTAATACTTAAACTCTACTTAAGTATCCTGTTGTTGTTTTTTTTAAAAAAATGGTTTGTAGCTTTTGTAGTATTCCAGCCATATTTTTAAATAATACTTGTGATTAGGATATTAATTCTTTCCTATGTCTTCCCTTTGTCCAGTCTGTTGTGTCACCTGAAAAGCAGGTTACAAATCTTAAAAATCCATCCCTAAAAATGTGGAGGAAGAGCAAAGATGAATGAATGAATGAATGAATGAATTGAAATGAATGAGTGAATGAATGAATGAAAGAATTAATTATTGTTAACGATCAACAGGCCAAGTTGGAAGAAAATTCAGAGGTCTCCCTTTCCAATATAGCTCTCTTCCCCTTTTTTTCCCTGTCCCCCCAACTTACCGGCGAGAAAACTGCAAGGGGTTACCCCGAATTCCATGATCCATGTGTCCCAGAGCAGGAGCAAAATCCGTACCCTTTCAAAGGAAGTCACCTTTAATGTAGGAAAAAAAACACCATTGTATTATGGTCAGCTTTCCCCCAGGGTACTTACTGACTCAAAAACTCCACAACTCCTGCTCAACCTCATTTCTTGTGGCTATGCGCACCCAGCTTAAATATATGGCTGTGCCAAAACCAGCCTTTTGATCATATATTCCCCGAGACGGGTTCCACAGGTTAACAAGAACAAAGAGAAAAAAGGAAAGATGGAGAAAATTTGAATCGAAGCCATGGATCCCTCTCGTGAGATCAAATCTGGGGTAGGAATCTGGATTCTTTGCTTTTAAAAAAAAATCTTATTGGGACTTCTGGATTTCCAGATGTTTGCATCTGGCAACAGATGTGGCTTCAAAGTCTTGCTCATCCATCCATCCATCCATCAACATTGATGGACTACACATCTCATTGTTTCTGGCCTTGGTTGGCCACAGGTAACCGTTGCCATGCTGTCCTGACTTATTCTCACCGGATCATAGAAAGAGTATTCTTGAGAATCTCAGAGCTGCCAAAATTACAGCTAGTCCTCATTTAGTGACTCCCTTGTTTAGTGACTGCTGGCAGTTATAAAAAAGTAACTTTGGGGGCAATCCTCGCGTTGAGAACCTTCCCAGATCTGTAAAGCCAAGGATAAGGAAAACTAGAATATTAGCGCAGTTGCAGTTTCACTTAGCAACTGCTTTTTTGGTCCCCATGGCAGTCGTTAAGCGAGGCCTATCTCCATAAGGCAGAGGAAGAGACTGCACACAATGTCTCTTCAAAATGTTACTAATTGTATATGACTTTTTGGCAGTGCCTCTCTCTCTCTATCTCTTTTCATCTGATTGTTTCTTGGATGAAGGCAAAAATACAATTTTGCAAGCCCAGACGCCCAGAGGAAATTTTTTTAAAAAATAAAATAAATAAGTTTTGGCTCAGTTCCAACTTTTCAGCTCCATCATTATCCCAATTTATTTTTAATTTTTTTTTTAAAAAAAAATGAAACGTGCCTCCACCATCGACCACCTCCTCAAACAAATCAACCCTATCCTGTTTCTCCCAAAATAAGACATCCCCTGATAATAAGCCCAATCGGGCTTTTGAGAGCATGGCAATAAGGCCAAGCGCTTACTTCAGGGTTCAAAAAAATATAAGACAGGGTCTTATTTTCGGGGAAACACGGTACGAATTCATTCCAAACATTTGCATCCTCTGTTTTCGTTTGTTTGAATAACAGAATAACAGAAGAGGTGGAAGGAACCTCGTAGGTCATCTAATCCAACCCACCGCCCAAGATTTTTTTCCCGGTCACCCGCTCCCTTCTGCCCCCTGCAAAATTAAAAATAATAATAAAAAGCTTCTAGGATTTCCCCGGGTGTAGAAAATTAGCTTCTCAAGCTTTCTGCTCCCAGACGAGGTTGGCCGCACGGATCCTGTGGGGAACAATTGACTTACCTGGTTCGCCGATGCCGGATGGATAGAGAAGATCTCTTTGTTGAAGAGCTCAACGAGCATTTTTAAGTAGTTTAAACATTTTCCCTCCAGGGATGTGAAGCATCCCTGCTGGGAGGGACCTCCCCACCAACTTGCCAATCCTGACACCCCGAAATTTGCTCTGATCTTCGGAGCAAACTACTCCGCCCTGCCACCTTTTGGGCATGTCGATTGGCTGCGTTGGGTTAAATCCTCGTTCATTTTTTTTTTTTTGCACGGTGCTCTGCCAAAACTGCAAGGAGGAATTTGTCTCAATGAAGTAGGAGCCGGATGTTGGCTCTTCAGGGGCCAAATTTCCCCCCTCTCCCCCCCCACTAATCCCAAAGGATAATCTAACTGGGGTGGGGGGTGGAAGAGAAATGCCCTGAAGATTCAGGTCTTCTTTGGCTGGGGTAATTTGGTAAGATGGCTCGCAGGCGGTAGAGGAAATGGAAATGGGACACACGGTGGTGGTGATTTGAGATGCACTAACTTTTAATGAGAAAACTCAGGGGTGATTTGTTTTAAGTGGAAAGTTGTGTCACCAAATGATGGTGTCCCTAAATTCCTGTTTCTTCTTCACAACATACCCTAAAACAACAAATAGGAAATTGCCTTCCCTTCACCTTTCCTTCTTCCTTCCTTCTCTTCCTTTCCTCATTCCTTCCTTTCAGTTCCTCTTCCCTTCATCTACCTTCCTTCATTCCCTCTCCTTCCCTTCCTCTCACTTTCCTTCCTTCCTTCTTTTCTCCTTTCCTCATTCCTTCCTTTCAGTTCATCTTCCCTTCATCTACCTTCCTTCGTTCCCTCTCCTTCCCTTCCTCTCACTTTCCTTCCTTCCTTCCTTCCTTCTTTTCTCCTTTCCTCACTCCTTCCTTTCACTTCATCTTCCCTTCATCTACTTTCCTTCATTCCCTCCCCTTCTTCTCACTTTCCTTCCTTCTTTCCTTCTTTCCTTCCCTTCCTTTTCTCCTTTCCTCCTTCCTTTCAGTTCATCTTCACTTCATCTACCTTCCTTTGTTCCCTCTCCTTCCCTTCCTCTCACTTTCCTTCCTTCCTTCATCCTCTCCTCCTTCCTTCCATTCTCTTCTCTTCCCTCCCTTCCCTTCCTTTCAACTTCCTCCCTCCGTCCCTCCCTTCTTCCCTTCCTTCCCTTCCCTTTTTAAAATTCAAAGCCCAAACGGAAAGACAGTCTTAAAAACGCCTTAGATGCTCAAGAAAACGTATCTTTTATTTCTGACTTTATTCTGGCCAAACTGCAAATATTTGACTTTTGAATTTCCTTCCTTCTCTCTTTCCCAAATTATGTCAATCCTGCCATTTCTAGCAGTGACAAAAATTAGCAGTTGAGGGGGGGGCATGTGGAGGGGAAAAAAATTGGATTCGTTGGACACTTAAAACCACCGGAAGTTTCTCCTTTCTCTGAAAGAAAGAGAAAAAAAAGCAAAACAAAAATTATGGCAGCCACACCCCCTTTTTTCAACTCCCAAATAAATATGTGGATTTGTCAGCTGACTTGCTCAGTATTCTTGGGGTATTTGCTTGTTTTTATTTTTTTTTCCCCCTCCAAACCGGTTTGGAAAAAGCAGGAATGCATTAAACACTGTTTTGGCTACAACCGACGTTAAGGCAAAGGCGTGCTGGAAAAAGGATCTCTTTTTTTTTTTTTACCCAAAGAATTTCCGCTCGGTAATTAATGCATTTGCAAGGCTGCAGGAAAAGGCAACACCGCCTCTTTTTGCTGGATTTAACCTTGTCTGTGATTGTTGACGATTATGATTTCATTTTCCTAGTTTATCCCAAACGCGAAGCTCCTGTCCCGCCTGCAAACTGGGCTAAGGATCGCCCTGCACAAAGATTTGGACTTGGAAGACGCAACTTTGGGTCCCCAGGACAAACAATCTGAGATGGCCTGGCCTCTGAGCATGAACAGAGTACCGTGTTTCCCTGAAAATAAGACATGTCCGGATAATAAGAAAATGCCAATCGGGCTTTTCAGTGCATGCGATAATATAAGCCACCCCCATAAAATAAGCCCCCCTCCACCAACTACTTACACGCATGCACAGCTGGTCCCGCCATTTTCTCTGGTTGCTTGCCATGCAACCAAAATGAGTTGAGGAGGTGAAGCTGGAGGGGAGGAAGGGGAGGGACATGCCCTCCCCACCCTGTTCTTTGCGCCGGCTGAGCGGCCCAACATGTCCCACCCCACCCCAATAGCAACAGCAGCTTGGCGGCTTCCCTTCCCTGCCGTCTCTTTATCGAGAGGGGTGGCAGACGGGGCAGGGAAGAAGCAAGAGGCATAGAGCGATGTGTGGCTCCCCTTGCCATCTCTTCTTTCCCCCCCTCGCCGGGCATGGCAGGGCTCCTGCCCCTTGCTTAGCCACCCGCCCCATTTAGGGATGCAATTTGGGGGTGGCAGGTGGGGCAGGCGAGCGAGAAGTGGGACTCAGGTCTTACCTTTCCAGCTCCGCCGCTTTCCTCACCGTTGTGTCCAGGGAAACACACGGTAAAAGAAAACCTTATCGCAAGTTCGAGAAGTTTGGTTGAACTCGCGAGAAGGTTTTCTTTTACAGCGTGTTTCCCTGGACACAACGGTGAGGAAAGCGACGGAGCTGGAAAGGTAAGACGTGCATCCTGCTTCTCACCTGCCCCACTTGCCCCTCCCCCAAATTGCATCCCTAAAGGGGGCGGGTGGCTAAGCGAGGGGCAGGGGCCCTGTCATGCCCTCTTCATGGAGAAGAGACTGCAAGGGGAGCCACATCTCGCTTCTCCCCCGCCCCACCTGCCACCCCTCTCGATAAAGAGATGGCAGAGAAGGGAAGCAGCTGTTGCCATTGGGGTGGAGTGGGACGTGTTGGGCTGCTCGGCCAGCATGAAGAACAGGGAGGAGAGGTGACAGCAGTGACAGGACATCCAGTCAACGCTCACTGCCTCCTGCACCCCCAAAATAATAAGACACCCCTCAATAATAAGGCCAAGCCCTTATTTGGGTGGTCAACAGAAAATAAGACCCTGCCTTATTTTTGGGGAAACACGGTACCATTCTCACCATGCCCCGAGGCTACGGAGAAAATCTCGGTGACGAAAGAAGACAGCAAGACAAGAAAATTTATTTGCAAATGCATTTTTTTTCTCTTCTCATTTGGGAAGGATGCCCGTGAAAATTAGGCCAAAAGTCGAACACTGGATGAGCCCCAAAGGCGAACCGAGCAGAAACAGGAAGCAGAAGACGTAATATTTGGTTTCCAAATTTCTCAGCCCAGAAAATGATTTTCAGTTCAGGAAAGAAAAGAGGGAGGCCCACACCTGTTGTAACTACCGCGTGCACGTAGTCTCAGGTACACAAACATGGTGTTTGTGATCCTATCGTTACTTTTTAATTAAATTTTTGGGGAAGCCTCGGGAAATCTTTCCATCCGGAATGGAATTTCGCTTGTCTCTGCAACCCCAACTGCTAATTAGCTGCGATGGCTACAATACGCCTCCTTCTTTCGCTCGCCTCCCTCCTTTGTTATAAAACAGAAGAACGATACGAAGACACAAAGGAAACAACGCCGGACAAAGGCTGGGCTCTTTTTACAAAACTGAGAAGGCAGCTTTATGTTGGCTTCATGCAGGGGTTCCCAAGTCCCTGTCCCTGGGCCA